CCCCCCAAATCCCCTGGTTCCCTAGGGAAACAGCCCTCGCACAGCTCCTGTCCGAGTTGCTTCTCCCGTGACTGCGCCTGCCGGGTCCTCACCGCAGCATCCAAGCCTTTCTTGGGCTCCGATCCTTCCGGGCCCCGCCCCATTCAGCGGTGCCTCTTCTCTTCCCCTTCTGACCCTCAGAACATCGCCCTGTATGAGTGGCTGCCCAGTTTCCTGCAGAAAACACCCCCGGAGTATGCAGGTGAGGGAGTAGGGGTGAAACTCGAGCCGAGGCTCCTTAAGGGAAAGAAGACAGGCTGATGCATACGATGGGAAAGTGTGAGGAGCCTCTCTTCTTCTTATCTCTTTCCTGCAGGGTACCGCCCTTTCCTAGACCCCAGCATCTCCCCAGAGTTCGTGGCGGCATCTGAGCAGTTCTTCTCCACCATGGTGCCCCCTGGCGTCTACATGAGGTGAGGGGAGGGCCTCGCGGTGAGAAGAGTCCCACACACTGGCAGAGGCGCAGTGTGAGACGCCTTGGGACCCTGGGGCCTTTCACACTCATTCCCAGTTTAATTGGAGAACAGAAGCAAAATTTGAGGCCCTGAAGCAGGACCCTAGGCTTGACCTTAGTAGGGAAATCTCCCCAGCTTTTATTTTCTTCCTTCCTTTCTTTTTTCTTTTTTTTTTTTTCTTTCTTTCTTTCTTTCTTTCTTTCTTTCTTTCTTTCTTTCTTTCTTTTTTTTTTTTGGTAGAGACAGGGTCTCGCTATGTTTGCCCAGGCCAGAGTGCAGTGGCGAGATCACAGCTCACTACAGCTTCGAATTCCTGGGCTCAAGTGATCCTCTTGCCTCAGCTCCTGAGTAGCTTGGGACTACAGGTGTGTACCATGCCTGACTAATTTTTTTTGTATTTTTTGTAGAAGTGGGGTCTTACTATGTTGCCCAGGCTGGTCTCAAACTCCTGGGCTCAAGAGATCCTCCACCTTGGCCTCCCAAAGTGTAGGAATTAGAGGCATGAGCCACAGCACCCAGCCCTCCCCAGCTTTTCTCACGGCTGGACATCAGTTGCTGAGTGTAGGATTTGTCCAGCAGCTGGGTCATCCTCTTTCCTCCTTCTCTCCCCACCCTATGTGGACTAAGAACTAACTCTTATTCCACACATTGCCAAATCTCTGCTATGTTCAAGGAAGTTCATGGGCCACCTTTAATCTTAAACAACACCCACTGAATCTCTCACCCTACTCAAACCCTTCTTAGTTTCTTCCCTGAGCTCCACCACCACATCCTTGATTCCTCCTTTCAGAAATGCCAGTTGTCATTTCCCGAAGGTCCTATATGAGGATGCTGACAACATCTCAGCTCTCAGAGTCTGCAACAACTACTGGATTCGGAAGGTCAGACTGGGGTCAGGGTCAGGGAAGGTGGGTCTAGGTCAGTCTCTTCACACAGGCTAGGCAAAACAACAATTCCAGTTCTTGGGTGTTGCTGCTTCATGTTGGTGGGAAATGAAGGGTAGAGAAAATTATCTGGGGACAATGACTCAAGAGAGTCTAGGACTGGCCAAGAGCCTTTTGCCCTGAGGTGCTGTAGTGGTCCAGGGTGAGAAAGATTGAGCTTTGGGTAGGGACCCTAAAGCTATTTAGGTGTGTTGTGTACTTCCAGAATCCCAATCTGAACAGTACCCAGGAGGTGGATCAGCTGCTGCTGGGAATGGCCTCCCAGATTTCAGAGCGGGAGGACAGGATAGTGGTTGAAGATCTGAGGGGTGAGTTCAGAGCCACAGGGGATGGGGCCAGAGACTGGGGAGTCTGGGGATCCTTCTGGGTGAATCAACTAGCAGACCGAGGGTACCCATGATGCAGGAACACAGAAACACAAACAGACTTCAAATAGCCATTAGAAAAAAAGAACTTTTAACATTTTTTCCCTAAATTTACTGTTTTGTATTGCTTTTATTTTAAATAAACTATGTCCGAGGATTGGGGCAGGATATCACCATTCTTTTTTTTTTTTTTTTTTTTTTTCTGAGTTGGAGTCTCATTCTGTCACCCAGACTGGAGTGCAGTGGCCGCTCCCAGCCACCGCAGCCTCGACCTGCTGGGCTCCGGCGATCCTTCCACCTCAGCCTTCCACACCACTCTTTTTGATACGTAGTCAGGTCTTTAAAGGTTTTCATTCGGGCTTGACTTGAAGTTAGGGAAGTTTAGGACAGGGAATTTACTGCTTGGTGACTAGAAGAGTCTTGACTCTTAGAGGAAAGGTCTTACCAGCAAAACTGTCCCTGATTGCACATGGTGACATTCACTCCATGCCAAGATAAGGTCAATATGGACACCTGTCTCATGTAGATGAGTGCTGGGTCTGGGGGAGGGGAGAGCCATTGTGCCACAGCCAGATGGAAGGCTGTAGGGCAAAGAAGGTTAGGAGGACTGAGCCCAACATCTGGTCTTTTCTCCTCAGATTACTGGCCTGGCCCTGGCAAATTCTCCCGCACAGACTATGTGGCCAGCAGCATCCAACATGGGCGAGATATGGGGCTGCCTAGCTACAGCCAGGCCCTGCTGGCCTTGGGGTTGGAGATCCCAAGGAACTGGAGTGACCTCAACCCTAATGTGGACCTTCAGGTCAGGAATAGTAATGACAATAACTAAAGCTAAAACTTTCCTTTGACAAAACTCTTCCAAATTCTTTACATATATTGACCCATTTAATCTACACAAGAATATCCCCGTTCTGCGATTGTCCCCATTTGACTGATGACATAATTGGAAAATTGTAATGGCAGGATTTAAATTCAGCCATCTGATTCCAGAGTACGTTCCTAACCACTACATTGTACCGTTCCTGCAGGATGGCCCCTGGGTTGGGTGCCATTGTCCTATTCCTGCAGGATCCCACCCCATGTATCAGGTGCCCCTGAAGCTGCTAATCACTGAGGCACTCTGAATATCGATGGTCACAGGATATGGTCCTCAGGCATCTGACAATGGTCTCACCACGAGTAGGGACACACTGGTCCTTCCACTAGATTGTCACCCCTGAAGGGGTCTATCTCGGAAGAGGAAAGCAGGCCCGAGCAGCAATCTAGACAGCCTCTGGAATCCTGTGTCTGAGGGATGGGGCAACAGTGACTGCCCTCCCCAACACACACACACACACACACACACACACACACACACACACACACACGCCTTATCTCTTGTGGTGCCTAAGGTACTGGAGGCCATAGCCACCCTGTACAACCAGGACCTGTCCCGGCTGGAGCTGCTCCCTGGGGGGCTCCTGGAGAGCCATGGGAACCCTGGACCCCTGTTTAGCACCATTGTCCTTGACCAGTTTGTGCGGCTGCGGGATGGTGACCGTTACTGGTTTGAGAACACCAAGAACGGGTAAGGCCTGCCTGGGCTCCCACCTCAGACTCCACCTGATCCTCTGCCTGGCCTGAAACAGCCCCCATGGGCCCTTGGTTCCCAGCCCACCATCCCCTTCCCAACCCCTCTGGGTCTCTTCTTATCTGGGTCCTTGGGCCTGGGTTGCTGGAGGCCTGCATCCCCTTCCCATCCCAGTGACTCCTACTTTGCCCAACTTAGCCTGTTCTCCAAGAAGGAGATTGAAGAAATCAGAAACACCACCCTGAGGGATGTGCTGGTAGCTGTTACCAATGTTAACTCCAATGCCCTGCAACCCAATGTCTTTTTCTGGCATGAAGGTATGTGGCCTAGGTAAACACAAGTGACAGTGGCCGGAGAAGGACCAAGGTTGAGGGTGGGGAAGGGGACTCTCTTGGTGCTGTTCAGGGAGCCAGGTAGCTTCTGTGTCAGACTAGGAGGCCTGCATTAGGCTGGCTCTCTCAAGAGGACCGAACTGGCACACAGGCTGTAGCCTGAGGCCAAACTGGGGTGGATGCTGAGAGATGGGATATGGACAGAGACTTTTTGAGGTGAACAAGTTCCAGGGAGGTGGGCTTGGGAGGATGGAGGATACCTTGTTCCTTTACAGGACAGAGGGGAAGGAAGCCTGGCCAAGGAGTGGGTCCTCAGATGTTGAGGTCTTCTGTGCCCTCTCCCTTAGGCGCACCCTGCCCTCAGCCCCAGCAACTCACAACTGAAGGCTTGCCCCCCTGTGTGCCCCTTACTGTGCTTGACTTCTTTGAGGGCAGTGGAGCTGGTTTTGGCATCACCATTGTGGCTCTCTGCTGCCTTCCATTAGGTGAGACCTTCACCCCTCTCCTGTCTTCTTCAGTCTCCCTGCAGACTGACCCTACCCCCTCATTACTTGCTGGCCTGCAGGGCTGGCTTCTGAGTCAGTTTGAGGCCAGACTCAAGGAGCCTTGGGAAGGGAGGGCAGCAGCTGAACCTCAGTGAAGCTACAGGCCAGGAACTCTCTCCCCACGGGTTCCTTCTGCTCCCATTTAGTGAGTCTACTTTTCTCTGGGGTGGTGGCCTATTTCCGGGGCCGAGAGCGCAAGAAGCTACAAAAGAAAGGCAATGACAGTGTGAAGAAGGAAGCAGCCAAAGATGGAATTCCAGGTGAGCAGGGGCTGAGGGAAGGGAGGAGGGGAGAGAGGAGAGGGAGAATGGGTAACTTGAAAGAAAGAACCAGCTACAGGGTGGGGAGAAAGTCAGGCTTTAGGGTGCCTGCTCAGACTCAGAGTGGAATTGGCCTGAGGGCAGGATCCTGGGGACCTCTGCTGAACCACTCTGCCCTCCCAATTGTCCCTTCCTCAGCGATGGAATGGCCAGGCCCCAAGGAGAGTAGCTATCCTGTCACCATCCAGCTGCTTCCAGACAAGGTTCTTCAGGTTCTGGACAGGCGTCCCACTGTGCTCCGCATAGTCCAGCTGCGGCCCCCACAGCAGGTTGACCTAGTCCTGTCCAGCAACCGAGGATGCCGCACCTTGCTGCTCAAGATCCCCAAGGAGTATGACCTGGTACCGTTTGTCCTGCCTCTCACACCTGGGCTGCCCTCACACACCTCCCTCTCACAAGCGAGTTCTCTCAGGCCTCCCTGTGCTCAGCTCCAGAGGCTGCTGCCAGGAAGAGGGACTCCTTTCAGAGGCTCCTAGACTCAACCTGACCCCCTTAGGCCACACATCTGGGCCCAGCTTGGATGGATGGGAAAGGGCTTTTCTCCCCTTCCCTCAACCCAAAGTCCTTTGAGAGGAGGCTGAAGCAGAAGCTCGAGCTCCAAGCATTAGTACGGCCTTTCTCCCACCCCCCCCCAACCCAGGTGCTGCAGTTTAATTCTGAAGAGGAGCGGGGCGCCTTTGTGAAGCAACTCCAGGACTTCTGTATACGCTGGACTCTGGGCCTCCATGTGGCTGAGATGGATGAGAAGGAGCTATTCAGGAAGGCGGTGACCAAGCAGCAGCGGGGACGCATCCTGGAGATCTTCTTTAGACACCTTTTTGCTCAGGTGCCATGACCTGTGCCTTTTAGAGATGGGCCTGGCCTGGGGGGTGGAGGAAATCTTGGCTGGACAGAACCCCATGCGGGTGAACTAAGCTTCACTCTATGGCCTAGAGATAGACAGCCTTGTGTGAACCCTTTCTTTGCCACCTACTTAGCTGGGTGACCTTAGGCAAGTCATATCATCTCTGTATCTCTGTTTTCTCATCTATAAAACAGTGACTGAAATTGATTACTCATTCCACTGCATTGCTGAAAGTGTTCAGTGAGATAGTCTACATGAATGTTTCTCAAAGTTTGGCCCCAGGAGCCACAGCATCAGCCTCACCTGGGAACTTGTTAGAAATGCAGATTCTAGGCCCCTTTCCAGACAGACTGAATCAGGAACTCAGGGTGGGGAGGGCAGCAGTCTGTGTTTTAACAAGCCTTCTAGGTGATTTTCATGCACTTTAATGTTTGAAAGATACTGTTCTATGTACAGTGCTTAGCTCGAGTGCTTGGCGTGTTGTAGGCATTTAACTAATGGTGGTTACATGTGGCTTTTAAATTATTTGCACAAAGGGCAGAGACCAAATCATAGGTATGTGGTAGCCCTATCTGAATTGTCAAGAGAGCATAGCCCCAGCCTCTTCCTGCCTGCCCATCCTGTCTACTGCCTTTTCTGTCCCCGGTATTGGTTCTCTTCACTTTTCATTCACCAATTTTGCCCTCCCCTCACTCTCCCTTTCCCTGCCTCAGTATCATCCCCACTGTATAAACTCCTGGTTCTGAGGTCCAAGTAGAAATGAGTGGGCTGCTATTCCCCTTCCCTACTCCCCATAGAAAAGAGACTCCAGTCAGTATATCTAAGGATCAGGACACTAGGGCTCTTTCTGATTTGGACTCTGGGGAGATGGGGTTACTGAACTGCTTCCAGCCCAGCCTTCACCTCCTTCTCTCCTTCCCTCTCCTGCTGCCCAAGTGCAGGTGCTGGACATCAAGCAGGCGGATGCAGGGACCCTGCCCCTGGACTCATCCCAGAAGGTGCGGGAGGCCCTGACATGTGAGCTGAGTAGAGCTGAGTTTGCGGAGTCCCTGGGACTCAAGCCCCAGGACATGTTTGTGGAGTCCATGTTCTCTCTGGCTGACAAGGATGGCAATGGCTACCTTTCCTTCCGGGAGTTCCTGGACATCCTAGTGGTCTTCATGACAGGTAGGGGGCTGGGAGGTGACGGGCCCATCCAAGGAGACAGGCATCTTTCAGCATGAGGTGACCCGCATCCCCCGTTCTCTTCCCAGGCTCCCCAGAGGACAAATCCCGCCTGATGTTTACTATGTATGACCTGGATGAGAATGGCTTCCTCTCCAAGGATGAATTCTTCACCATGATGCGGTATGGGGTGTGCCTTTCCAATTCTGAGACATTCTGATGTTTTAGATAGGAAAACAAGTCAAGATAGATGAGGGAGGGTGGGTGTGGAGGCTATGTGACCATCTGTGTTGAGAGGTGGCCTAGCCACTGCACCTGAGATTCTCAGAGCATCCAGCTTCAAAAGTTTACCTGCCCAGGTCTCTGCCTCAAGGAGGGTCTGTATCTGCACTATCGACACCAGCCAAGAAAGTCTCCCTAGTTGTTTTCTTTTTTTGAAGAAAAAAAAGAAACCTACACCAATATGACCAACAACTAAAATCCTCTAACCCCTTTTGGATGCCTTTGGATCTTTGTAAACTCTTTTACAGCATGGATAATGCTGTGTTGTTCCCTGTGAAATAATGGATGACCTCAGTGACTCTTCTGATATTAATCTCCATGACAGGCAGGAGGAGAAATGTGAAACGTTTCTCTATAGTCCAACTTTTTTCCTGCTTCTTAAACCACTTCTAGTTTGGGCCTGATAAAGATCGACTTTGAGCATCATAGATTTCTTATTCCTTCAGACCATGCTTCAATACCACAGCCCCCTTCTGCGCCATAAGGGCAGGGTCTACCTCTCTTTGCTCCCTGTTGAATCCATCTCCTCCACACTGTGACTGGCACATAGCAGACATTCAATACAGAGGTGACTGAACAAGATAAAATGAAATAAGTATGCAAATGGATACATAGAATGGATCAAGCAGCCCACAATCTTAACTTTTCTATCCCTTTAGCCCTTTTCATTGCATTGAACATTTTCCTTAACTGCATCCCTCTTATAGTTCAGATACCCCAAGGGGACATGGACTTCTAAAAGGGAAAAGTGGATTGCAGTCTGTACCTCACTGAGTGTGTCACTGCAGGCCCAGCCCTGGGTGGGGCTCTAGGGAATCTAAGAGAGGGTTCCTGCCTTCAAGGGCTGAGCTCCTGCCTTCTTAGCTTGTCCCTTGGTGTGGATCTCAGTTTCAGTGGGATGATGTCTTTGACTGTGAGGGCTGTGTTGCTGTGCCATGTGGTCCAGGTCGTCCTGCTGGACTCACACAAACTTACATGATCTGCTTCTGTCCCAAAGCACAGCCTAAGGAAAGAGTTCGGCTACTGCAGGTGCCACTGTGGGTGCTTTCACACTGGGTGTGGAGAGCTCCTGCCCGTACCCTGGGGCATTGGCACAAGGAAGCAGCAATGTTGTAGCTACATCCCCTCCCTGCTGCCCTGCTATCTGGGGCCCCCACTGGAATGTGAAAGTGGGAGCCCAGGAGTGGTGTGGGAGGCATCAGCAGGAGAGAGTGGGCAGAGAGCCTGCCACAAGAGAAGGCCATGGTACACCCTGGACATGTCCCTGCACTAAGTGGACATTTGTACCAGTAGTAGATGCCCCCTGCTTGAGGGCTGCTTTCTCCAATTGGTCAAGGTCACTTTCAATTCTTTTCTGCCTTTCGAGCCCATGGTCACCCCACCCAGCTTAGTGTCAGCTGCAGGCTGAACGAGCACCTTCTCAGTGCCATTTCCCGGGTCACTGGTAACCACATTAGGTAATCCGGGGCCTGCCCCACCCTGCACCTGCCCGAGCCTGACCTTGCTGGGTGACAGGCTGCCCTGTCTCTGGTCCTTTCTAGGTCCTTTATAGAAATCTCCAACAACTGCCTGTCGAAGGCCCAGCTAGCCGAGGTGGTGGAGTCCATGTTCCGGGAGTCGGGCTTCCAGGACAAGGAGGAACTGACATGGGAGGACTTCCACTACATGCTGCGGGACCATGACAGCGAGCTCCGCCGCACACAGCTCTGTGTCAAAGGTGGACGTGGAGGTGCGTGAGTGAGTAAGGAATGATCAGAGTCAGGGAGAGATGTATCTTCAACACGAGACTTCCTGGTGGACAGGACTCAGGTTTTATTCTTCTTTGAGTCCTTGGTGCCTAGTACAGGCACATGTAATCAGGGGTGGTACCTGCAGATGTGCAAGCTGTGCACAGCACAAAGATGCCCACTGAGGTCAAGGAGCAGGCTGAAATCTTTCTCTTTTTTTTTGAGTTGGAGTCTCACTCTGTCGCCCAGACTGGAGTGCAGTGGCCGCTCCCGGCCACCACAGCCTCGACCTGCTGGGCTCCGGCGATCCTTCCGCTTCAGCCTTCCGAGTAGCCGGAATTACAGGCATGCGCTACCACGCCTGGCTGATTTTTTGATTTATTGTAGCAATGAGGTCTCGCTTGCCCAGGCAGGTCTCGAACCCGCGGGCTCAGGCAATCCACTCACCTCAGCCTCCCAAAGGCGCGGGATTACAGGCTGAGCCACCGAGCCCAGCTGAAATCTTTCTTATATACTGTTCAAAGCTATGGGCATAGGTCTAGGGTGTATCGGGCCAGAGGAATAGATACTATTTTCTTTACACAAAGGACCTGGAGGGTTTCATCTACGGGGGGGGGGAGGTCCCCTTTTCTAATTGCACAAAGTTGCCACCTTGTCTGCCTTGTAGACAATAGGTGCTTAGTGTGGGGAAGGAGGAGAATAGGGCTGAGCCAGAAGTCTGGACATGGCTTTCCCTGAGTGGGGAGGAGGGGGCAGTCTCCCACTCTACCTCACTGCCCTCATAGGGAAGCCATCTTGCCTCTTGTTCTCCTGTGCAGGTGCTGGAGACATCTTTAAACAAAACATCAGTTGTCGAGTCTCGTTCATCTCTCGGACTCCTGGCGAACGGTGAGCAGGAATGGAGGATGTCTCATTGGCTAGGGCCCCTACAGGGAAATGAAGGAAGTAGGGCTGGGTGATCAGCCCCCAGGGTCAGACATTGGCCCTCTGGAAGTAGCTCTTAGCTCATGTTCAGTCCTTACCAACACTCTAGCTGTCTTCTCATGCCATTCTGCTCAGAAGCCTGACTTTCTCCCAGCCACTCCAGGCCAGAGCATTCTACAGAACAGATGAGCAGATCCTCTTAATTCATTCTGCCTTGTCCCCAGCCTGCCTTCCCCCAGCCTGGCCCCAGGAACCACACCCCACCTCCAGCCAAGGTCTGACCTGGCAGTTCTCCTGGCTGCAAAGACAAGGAAAAAACAGGTCCCATTTCTTTCTCTCAGCTCCTGCCCCCAAGGACTGGGGCTCCCTGCCTCAGAAACCCCAGAGCTGGGAGGCTCTGGGCTGAAGAAGAGGTTTGGCAAAAAGTGAGTGCTTCCTGGATCCCTGGGCCCAGGGAAATGTGGAGAGAAGTCTCAGGGTCTTTTGGCCCTGTCCACACCTCCCTGATGGATGAGGGACCATCCTGGGTCTCATTCCATTTGTTCCTGACCCAACTGAGGGGCTGTAGTATCGAGTTAGTTTTCATACTCTCCCAACCTCTGCACTCCATTCTTCAGACAAGAGTTCTGGTTCATCAGGATGGTTAGTAAGGGGTCTCCTAGCTCCTGCCTGCTTTGAGGCCCACACAGGGAACAGGAAGAGGGAAGGACAAACAGACAGGAGGAGGGAGGCGATAGAGAAGTGGGGAGACAGATGAGTGGGTGGATGGAGCAAGTAAAGATGGAGGTAAAGGGTTAGTGGAGTGGGAGGCCCCCCAGAATGCTTTTTCCCATCATCTGTTATGGCCCATCCTGACTCCTGCCAGAACCAGGTCTCCTTTTGTGGGGCAGCACTGAAGGAAGGCCAGAGTGCCCCACCTTACCGCTGCCTGCCTCTCCTTGCTGCAGAATCATGGTGACTGGTCCCCAGCTGTACACAGAGGCACTCCAGGAGAAGATGCAGCGAGGCCTCCTGGCCCAGAAGCTGCAGCAATTCAAGCGCTTTGTGGAGAACTACCGACGGCATATCGTGTGTGTCGCAATCTTTTCGGCCATCTGTGTCGGCTTGTTTGCAGATCGTGCTTATTGTAAGAGTTCCGGGCTGTGGGCAATGGGAAGTAGGCAGGAAGCAGGTTCCAACCCTTGGGGAGGAGTAGAGAGCCCCCTGGTTGCTCTTCCTTACCCTCAGCGTCTGCGTGGGGAGCTGGGCGTTCTGATGTGGGCTCAGGATCACAGCCTCTTGTGCCTTGCTGATCTACCCCCACTGATCTGGCCCCAGACTATGGCTTTGCTTCGCCACGCACGGACATTGCACAGACCACCTATGTGGGCATCATCCTGTCACGGGGCACAGCGGCCAGCGTCTCCTTCATGTTCTCCTACATCCTGCTCACCATGTGCCGCAATCTCATCACCTTCCTACGAGAGACCTTCCTCAACCGCTACGTGCCTTTCGACGCTGCCGTGGACTTCCATCGCTGGATTGCCATGGCTGCTGTTGTCCTGGCCAGTATGTGACTCCTGAGCATCTCCGCTTTGCAGCAGCCCCTGGGTCTAGCTAAGGGAAACGGGGCAGGGGGAGGGGGAAATTGGAGCTCCTTGTACCTCCATCCTCCTCCCTGTACCTCCTCTCTCCCTCAGGGTTGGTGGTGGAGTCAGCCCTAGTTGGGATCTCTAACAGGGTCTGTCTCTCTCAGTTTTGCACAGTGCTGGCCACGTGGTCAATGTCTACATCTTCTCAGTCAGCCCCCTCAGCCTGCTGACCTGCGTATTCCCCAACGTCTTTGTGAATGATGGGTCAGTTCTGGGGAAGGTCTCCCCTGGGACTCCTGGGGTAGGCCTAAGGGTATAACAGAAAAGGAACAGATGACCATAGATGCTCAGTGAGAACGTACGAAGCCAGCCTTCTTGGAGAGGCTGATAGGTGACCTCCTTGCCCCAGGAAGGAACCTGGTTGTGACTGGCCAGGAAAGGTGTTTGGGAGATGAAGTCAGAGATTCTTTCCCAGATGTAACTGACACACAGCTTGCCATCTCAGCCTTTGATTCATCCACCGGGCAAACATTTATGGAGCAGTGTCCTGTGTGTCCCTCCAGATGCCAGAGAGTAGGGATGTCAAGAAACACGCAGTCATCCAACAACTGTGTATTGGGCATTTACTGAGTGCTTGGTATTATTCTAAGCCTAGGAACAGAGCAGTGAACAAAACAAGAATCCTTGCTCTCATGGAGCTTACGGAATAATGAACTGAGCATTCAAGGTCAACTGCAGTAAGAAAGTTCAGGATAACACAGGAGGGAAAATTGTTGAGTGCAGAGAGTGGAAGTATGGGGTGTGGGTTGCCGTGTTCCTTGGAAGGATCTCTGGCCATCTGAATGGAGGTTCAGTGACCTCAGCAGGCAGGGACAGCAGGAATGGAGTCATATTGTGGTGTGGCACCCCTCCTGCCCCAGCCAGAGGCTCAGTGTGCCTTTGCCCCACAGGTCCAAGCTTCCCTGGAAGTTCTATGTGTGGTTCTTTCAGACCGTCCCAGGTAGGGAGTGGGACTGTGTATGGGATGTGGAGGTACTGCCTGAGAATTTCCGCTGTTGTCTCCGTCTCCCCTTGAATACTCACCTTTCTACAGTGGCCGTGGGGTCCTTTTCTAGCCTACAGGACAAGCCACAGCTCCAACCCATCCAAGCAAGCTGTTCTGGGAGCTCCAGAGGGATGACAGAGGAAGGAGGGCAGAATGGGGGAGTGCTCTGTTGTATTTTCAGCCCAGGCTGAAGTCCTAAGACGATTGCTGACCCTGTCCTCCTGCCCCCAGGTATGACAGGAGTGCTCCTGCTCGTGGTCCTGGCCATCATGTACGTCTTTGCCTCCCACCACTTCCGCCGCCGCAGCTTCCGGGGCTTCTGGCTGACCCACCACCTCTACATCCTGCTGTACGCCCTGGTGAGGGACCTCCCTGGGCAGGGCCAGGCCATGGAGCAGGGGACTCAGGATGGGGTGGGGGTGGCGAAGGAGGGAGCATGTAGAATTGGACCTACGCTCTCAGAATAAGCCCTGAGATCTGTGACTCCAGACTCTGGAGCCTATGACTCTCAGCCCCATCTACTCAGCCCAGGTCGAGTGCCTGGACTCAGGGGTGCAGGCAGGGGCCTGGCTGGGCCTCAGCTGAACTAACTGGTCTTGTCTCCAGCTCATCATCCACGGCAGCTATGCTCTGATCCAGCTGCCCTCTTTCCACATCTACTTCCTGGTCCCAGCAATAATCTATGGCGGCGACAAGCTAGTGAGCCTGAGCCGGAAGAAGGTGGAGATCAGCGTGCTGAAGGCGGAGCTGCTGCCTTCAGGTACCAGGCCCGGCCTGACTCGGGTGGGGAGCAACAGAAGTCGACTCCTTGGACGTGGGGACACAGCTCACCATGCCTCCTGACCCCATCACTGCCTCCCAGGGACTCCTGTAGCATCCCTGATGGAAATGTAGATTCAGGAGGGATTGTGGTTAGCTCCCAGGAGACTCACAGACAGTGAGAAGTGACCATGAGACAGGGTGGCTGAAAGTGTATATGGAGGGATTTGAAGATGAGAAAGACCCCCACATGTGTGACCCAGTTGCAGGGGGAGTGGGGGACAGGAAGCTGTATATTCCTCTCCTGTCCCTCCTCTCAGAGACAGGCCACTGGCCCAGATTGCCAGTCTGTTGTTGACAGTCAGTGTTGGCCACGGTGGGGATTGCCATTGCTATAGAGAGTGGCAAGAGATGATTTTAGCTGTCACAGGACTGTCTAACCATCAAGAATCCCACTGTAAGCATTAATCTCATTTCAATCTTATTTCAGTCGCCATTCCTTCAGGACACAATCTCAGAGAGTGGTATAGTGTTACTCAGCTGTGGTTAGGCAACAAACAGTACCTGGCTAAAATTTGGTAACAAAATATGTTACTTTCTGATCAGAACAGATGCTACTGGTTTTCCACTTACTTTAGTGATAAAAGTTTTCATGTCAAAATAAGTTAAATTGAAAAAGTCAGTCAATTTAAAGAAAATTATTAGATAAATGATAGCTCACAAATTAGCCAGGTGTGATGGTGCATGCTTATATTCCCAGCTACTTGAGAGGCTAAGGCAGGAGGATCACTTGAGCCCAGGAGGTTGAGGCTGCAGTGAGCCATGATTGCACCACTGCACTCCAGCCTAGGAGACAAAGCGAGATTCCCAACTCAAACAAACAAGCAAAAAGAAAGTGCAAGAGGTGTGCAGATATGATATGTCACAAAGGTGACCCTCCAGTGGTAGAGATGGTCCCTGGTGAGCCTGAGGTCTCTTCACCAGAGCAGTAGTATAAGGCCTGGTCCATTCATAGGAAAAGGGAGTAGAGAGGAGGAGAGGGGCTGGAACAGGGGAGCAGAGAAACCTGGCTCTTGTGTTACTCAGGAAAGAGAAAAGGGGTCCCTCCTACTCCGAGCCCCAGGAACTCCACTTGCTCAGACCATAGTACCACTCTCCAGGCCTCAGGAGTATGGAGAGGACAGATACCCGTCAGTCTTCAGGTACCAAGAGCAAGCCTTCTGATCTATGCCCTTCCTGTCCATGACCCCCAGGAGTGACCTACCTGCAGTTCCAACGGCCCCAGGGCTTTGAGTACAAGTCAGGACAGTGGGTGCGGATCGCCTGCCTGGCTCTGGGGACCAATGAGTACCACCCCTTCACACTGACCTCTGCGCCCCACGAGGACACTCTCAGCTTGCACATCCGGGCAGTGGGGCCCTGGACCACTCGCCTCAGGGAGATCTACTCACCCCCGGAGGGCAGTGTCTGGGCTGGATACCCAAAGGTGCCTGTCACTGGGAACCCCACTTTTGGGCCTCTGGCATTGACAGAGCGTCCTTACCCTTCCCCAGCCCGAAGTAAGGAGTTCCAGCCTCCCCAAGGCCAGGTTGGGAGGGGACTGGGGTACTTCAGAAGAGATTAGGTTGCCCTGTATCCTCCCTCTGACTGTCCCTGCATTTCTGGCCTCAGAGCTGGGGCAAGGCTGGGCTTATCTCGTCTCTCCCTTCTCCTGGCAGCTGTACCTCGATGGACCATTTGGAGAGGGCCACCAGGAGTGGCATAAGTTTGAGGTGTCAGTGCTGGTGGGAGGGGGCATTGGGGTCACCCCCTTTGCCTCCATCCTCAAGGACCTGGTCTTCAAGTCATCCTTGGGCCGTCAAATGCTCTGTAAGAAGGTAAGCATCCACCCTCCATTCTTCAAATGGGGGACACATGGCCTGCTTGTGCCTCCACATCACAGCGGCGGAGCATGAGAAGAAGCTCCCGGCTTCAGACACTGCATCGGGAGGGACCATTCTTACCCAGTGGTTGAGGCGCCAAACTTGGAGGGAGGCTTGAGGTTGTAGCCATATGGGCCTTGCTGGGGTCTATCAGCTGGAAGCTTGGGATCAAGCTGGAGGGTCCTGCTAGAACCTTGGTGTCTGTGGGTGGTCTGGGGTTTCCTAGCTTCTCAGGTGAAGGCACTTGGGGCCTACAGAGCCTGAGTTTAGCTGGATCCTGAGCTCCGGACTTGTGTCCCCAGATCTATTTCATCTGGGTGACGCGGACCCAGCGGCAGTTCGAGTGGCTGGCTGACATCATCCGGGAGGTGGAGGAGAATGACCACCAGGACCTGGTGTCTGTGCACATCTATATCACCCAGCTGGCAGAGAAGTTCGACCTCAGGACCACCATGCTGGTATGTCAGGGCTGGGCAGCTTGACAAGTAGATGGATTGGCAGCATATGACGGGATGGCCGGGGCTGATGAGTCCCCAGCTGGCAGGAGGCACAGCGCTGGTAGCCCCGACCCTCAGCCTTCAGCTCCATCCCCACCTCAGCCTGTCTCCTGGGCTGTGTGTGTGGGCTGGCTCAAGCTCAGTGCTGACCTTGATTGTCCTTGGGCTGATCTGCCCTTGTGCCCTCAGTACATCTGCGAGCGGCACTTCCAGAAGGTGCTGAACCGGAGTCTGTTCACGGGCCTGCGCTCCATCACTCACTTTGGCCGCCCCCCCTTCGAGCCCTTCTTCAACTCCCTGCAGGAAGTCCACCCACAGGTCAGTTCCGCCCCCTTCCACCCTGAGACTCTGGCCTTTCTCTGGCTCTGGTCCTCAAGCATCCTGCAGTTGTATCCTGAGCAGGGATAGGACCCCCACCGACAACCCGGCCCCAGGATAGGATAGGATAGGATAGGGTCAAGTGCTGAAGGAGAAGTTCAACCCCTTACAGCTCAAGCATTTTCCTCAGGATTTGAACTTGAAACCCTGGTCATTCCAGCCAGGCTTTGTTTTCCCTGAGGAATGAGTGTCTTAAGGCTGCTGGCTTCTCCTTCTTGATCCAATCCTCTGACAGGTGCGCAAGATTGGAGTGTTCAGCTGCGGCCCTCCAGGAATGACCAAGAATGTAGAGAAGGCCTGTCAGCTTGTCAACAGACAGGACCGAGCCCACTTCATGCACCACTATGAAAACTTCTGAGCCTGCCCTCCCTGGTTCCTGCTTCCAGTCTCCTGCCTTCCTCTTTATGGACCTAAGTTGCCCAGGCCTGCTGGCAATTCATTAGAACCCACCTCAGGCCTCAGCTGGAGGGCTGGGGAGCCCCTCAGTCCCAGGCTCTGAGAAGACAAAGACTACCCCCTACCCCAGTTCAAGCCATGGCAAGCAAAGTGGGGAGGGGACAGTCCCTGTTTTGAAGCAATGAAGACATGCAATAGTGTTTTCCTCCAATAAGTCCTCATGTCCCTGTTTGACTTACACGAAAGCAATGTAATCGTGTTGGTATTTTCTTGGCCCAGCATTTGAGGGAGAAGGGGGTGGAGATAGCTCTGAGTCAGAATCTCTTCAGAGCCCAGTACAGAAGCCTTGATACTCAGAACCTGGACAGCCCAAGTGCCTCAAGTCAGTCTCTGGGCCTTTCTCCTCCAGCTCCAAAAAGGAGTAGTCCTGCTCTTATCCCTTCCTGCTCCTAGAGGGTCAGGAACCTAGAGAAGGGCACCAGGGAACAAAGATGCCTCCCCACTCCTGATGTTCCTGATGTAAGCCAGTTATGCCCACTGCCCTGACCCCGTGGCAGGCCCCTCTCTCCATCCAGTGGAGCAGTCTCTCAACTCTGGGAATAAGGGAGTCCAGACTCTCTGCCAGATATTCAGAACTCCCTCAGCTAGGTGTGATGGCTCATGCTTGTGATCCCAGCACTTTGGGAGGGCAAGGTGAGAGGACTGTCTGAA